TCATGTATTTGTATAGTCCCATTCACATCAAGATCTATAACCATAAAGACAACTAAAACGTTAACTATATTAACATCCACACCAAAGCACGGTAACCATATTTTTATTATAAGCATGCACTGCAGTTTTATCGCTTTAAATGCTCAAGCTCTTTAAAGTCAGATTCTGATTGGATGTCAATTGATGTCAATGTTTTTATCGTTCACCAGCTCAAAAAAAAATTCTTGAAGTGGTTTCAACATTATCGTTCCTCTGTGTCGTTATCGTTATAGCTGTGGTGTGGACTTCCATATTCTTATACAATTAGAACCATTATAAAAAATGTATAGTTGCCCTCTATGGTGTGAAAAGGCCTTACACTTAGGAGTACACTTTTATAGATATACAGTGCCTTTTAGTACTTATCTAAGCTCCCTATTTAAAACTAGATTCCTTTAAGCACACGCATTAATCCTAAATCCCACTGAAACTACAAAACAGCTCTCCGATCAGCATTAATTGTCCACTTATACTTAAAAAACAAGAATATCCTGCCAGCTGTACCCACCTGTGTCTCGTCTTGCACAGCGCGGTACTGCTCCTTCCACACTGTTATTTTGGATGCCTCGTCTTTGCGCAGCGCACGTTCCTTCTTCAGCTCCGGGCTCCAGAAGCTTTTGATGGAGCTCATGGAGGAGCTGAGCTTGCTCTCCTTCACCTCGATTTCCTTCCGAAGCAGCTCATTCTCCCTCAGCACCTCCTTGAGCTGGGCTTGGAGCTCCATGATGGTGTTGTCCCTCGCCTGACGTAGCGAGTGAGGAACGGTTGACGCAGCGTGGATCTCCCCTCCAAAGCCCATAGAGTCGGTGGACACCGCCGGCACCATGGCCATGTCCGGTGTGCTGCCTGTAACCGTTGCCCGGACCCCGTAAGGAATGCTGCCTCCAAAGCGTCCCGTCGCTACACCGCTTTTAGGGAGGTCAGAGGAAGTGCCGATTGCGACCTCGTTGTCGCTCATATACAACGGTCCGGACGTGGCGTAGGCAGCATTGAGAGATTGAATGTTCTCCATGGACAACGTCTTGCCTCCAGAGCCGCCCGGGCCTCCGTCGCTGCCCCCCATGCTGTTGGTGCGACGGTGACCCATACGGGGTGACCGAGGCAGCCGTGGAGAGCGTCCAGAGTTGCCCTGGTTGTTTCTTCCCCCGCTGTGATTACTGTCCATTTTGCTCACAGAGCGTGAACTTCCGTACATATTGGCAGGTTTAGAGTGCAAGCAAGGGAACCCACCGAAAATGTATTGTGAAGGAATGTGCTAATAAACAGGCCGGGTCATTTTCATCTCAAGTATAAGGAATGTGATCAGTCAAGCAAAGACCGGTCTTCTGTCTCTTTCTGTCAAATGGAGCAACTATGGTGGCCTGTAAAATGAAAACACACAAAATAATACTATAATCACATAAGAAATGACAAGAGAGTCTACACCATTTTGAGGCAAAAATGCACCAGCCATTTAAATTTTGAGGTATTATTCAATTATTTTCAATTTATTATATCTGATGTTTGATATATTTCCATATATATATTTATTCGGGGCCAATCTAGGGATGGGTTTAGTAGCTATACAAAAACCAAAATGACCTGTAGCTGGCAGATATCTGTAGCTATTCTCTGTCTCAGATGTGAGTTTTGAAGTGTTTTTGATTAAAAACACTAAATTCAGCTCTACAAAAGACTAGAAATTTGTCCAAATCTACCAGGATTGTAGACTGTAGAGAACTGTATATTCAAATATAGCGTTAATTGTGTTATGATATCTTGTGCATCATTGACAGCTACATTTGTATGTAATGCTAATTTGATTTAGTAGGTATACTTACCGATATAATTGTTCATATTGAGACTTGCCATGCTTAAAAATGCCCTTAAAATGTACAAAAAAACATCAAAACCAATTCCAGACAGCAAATAAAGTAAATATTTGACACAGGTAGGTTTCATCAAACAGCAGAGATTAAAAAAGCTATATGTTCAGTCAGGAATGTTAAGCTTTTTTCCTCCACACCACGTCTACTTTTACTATTGTTCATAATATTATTATACATATCTCAATAGAAATCCGGTTCGTGTTATAGACCGCTACTCTCATATAGGCCTACAAAAATAATTCACAAACTAGATAATGTAATAAAGCTTCTCCCATTTACACACCGAATGAGTGAATCGAAGACAAGGTGTGGGATTATATTGTAGGCTCACACTCCAAGGTTATCAAACATCTAATGTCAACGGCAAATCTAGCATTATTATGGGATACTCAGCTGATGATTTATATTCTAAAACAACAGATATTAATAATGCTGTTGTATTTAGGTGAAGGCTGTTCACAGCGCTGACAAACCAACCAGAAGCGTCGGCATTTCCCACAAACCACGTCAATAAGACTTGCAAATGCGCAAAATCATAGACTACAATTCTTATATCAGTACAATTTAGATTACGGATATATTAACCTAATGTTCCGTAAAATTCAGTCCTGCAATCGCTCAGCCACAATCCTGAGCATCCTCCCTCAATGTCCTTCTTCTCCACCATTGCATGGCTTAACACATTTGCCTCCTCTTTTGTTAGTAATAGCTGTCCAGCAAATGCGACAGTAAATAAAAGGCGCTATTTGAATATCAATATATGTAGATATTGAATAAACGTATCATATACGAGCATCACTATTTTAGCCTATTATAAACCACAATAGTTTTTTTTTTCCAAAAATCTTTTTTACCTTGTATGGCTGGTCTGTTTCATCCGATATGTAACGACCGTCTGTCCAATAGATGTCTGTTAGAGAGGAAGCGGCCTATTTTTGTATTGCTTTATGATTTTATTATTTGCAGACACACACCAGTATCTTCCCAGAGCTGGAGGACTTCAGTGACGTAACGCCTACGCTGCGCGCTCACACCACTCGCCTCTGAAATGCCAACGCCATGCTACGAAGGTCATTTTATTGAAAAAAAAAAAAAAAATTGTACAAATTCAAAACTAAATCGTACAAATATTTTATCTCACAAAAATGACGTTAAATGGCGATAATCTTTATGAAGTATAAATTTTCAGAACTTGCATTATTTAAATATTTTATAACAAATATGTTCGATTTCTTGTAGTATGTAATTCGTCCAAATTGGACAAAATATGTATAGTTAATTAAAAAAATTAAATAAAAAAGCTGCTTCTAGTATATGCCATGATATGCCCTATACTCTTATAATATTATCTTTAATTGCATCTGTGTATAGTCATCCTGCCCCAAACCATGTAAATTTCTAAGCTACACTTTATGACCTCCCAGTCAGTTTATAGATAGAGAACAGAGATAAACGCCAGTTGGTGGGGTTTGATCCCCCTTAAAGGGACAGTTCACACAAAATAGACATTCTGTCATTAACTCACACTCTCATGTTTTGTATAAAACATGATTTTCTCTCTTCTGTGAAACTTTGTGTTAGGTGTACTATTATATGCTTCCATGTGTTTAATTCAACCATGATATGCAAATCTACTTTAATCAAATCACAACACACTTCAATGCCTAATACAGACCTACTATTAACTTACAGTTCTGTTTCATTCTTTTTCTTAACCCTGTAAAGCCTGACTTAATAAATAATCAGAAAAAAATTGAATATTTTATAGAATAAAAATACTAATATTTGTGTATGTGTTTTATGTTTTGTTTCATAGTTGATGCATGAGGCTTTTATGGCTCATATAGGCCTATCATGAAAATACTGAGGCGGGAAAAAAACACCATAAATTATGATAGCTTATAATGTAAATCAATGATATTTGTATAACAGACTACTTACATAAAATGCATAATATCAGTTGCATATAAATACCAATAATATATCTTAGTATATTTACATGCTTAGTTTTATGATCAAAGCTCTGTAGTTTTTATTGTGGGGGCAAAACATATAATGCAATACAATACAATGATAACTGAAAAATTGATAATATTTGATACATACATTTTAACATGCCTTTTTCTTAAAAAAACAAAAGATGGATCAAGTAACCCTGAGTTGCTTCAATCTAGTAAGTGCTTATCTTTAAACATTTCAATATTAATAACGCATAAAAGTTATAACGTATAAAATATTATTAACATATATATATATATATATATATATATATATATATATATACACTATTGATAATCTTTTGTTTCCAGATTAATAAAATGTTAAATAGAGTGTTAAAATGTTACAAATGTTAAAATAAAATTGTTTCTGTACCTTTGCTTTTAATTTTATTTGCTTTTTTTAATTTATTCTATTTTCTAGAAAGCTAGAAGTCTGTAAATTGCATTTACTTTGTGTACCTTTTATTATTTACATATATATATATATATATATATATATATATATATATATACACTATTGATAATCTTTTGTTTCCAGATTAATAAAATGTTAAATAGAGTGTTAAAATGTTACAAATGTTAAAATAAAATTGTTTCTGTACCTTTGCTTTTAATTTTATTTGCTTTTTTTAATTTATTCTATTTTCTAGAAAGCTAGAAGTCTGTAAATTGCATTTACTTTGTGTACCTTTGATATATTTGGTTTGTTTTAAGCTTATTGATATTCACATCCAAAAAAGTGAATGAAAGAATAAAACCTGCTCTTTTTATCAATTACATCAGTTAAAATTTGGTAAAAATTTGGTAAATTACGTAAAATTCCAAACGACCTCTTAAGTTATCATGACGTACACTGAGAGTAGAAACAGTCATTCACTTTCATTTTATGAAAAAGGATGCAATGAAAGTGAATGGTGACTGACTTCTCCTTTTGTGTTCTACTGAAGAAACAAAATAATGCAAGTTGAGTAAATGTTCACAGAATTGTCATTTTTGTGTGAACTGTCCCTTTAAAACACGGTAGGTTCGTTGTTTCAGCAGGCGGCGCTATTTTCTAACTGCAAGACATTACTCGAATAAACTAAAGACAAGCAGGGGGCTGCACGGGCTGGCGCTCTCTCTCGCAGGGGGAGTGGACAGAGTCCGGGTTATTATTTATCACGAAACCGGTTTGTTCATGTAGCATGTATTTATGCGATGGCGAAAATGTTGGGAATCGATGGTATGCAGATTACGTAGCCTTGAACCCTGAGCGTGCAAATCGTCTACATCTGTTCTGGATCTTTCGCTGTCTGTCAACAATAGAGCCACAAGGCGCTCGGTAGCGCGCTGCACCCAAAGCCAAGTTTCGTGTCGGCGTAAATGCATATAGTCTCGAAGCTTTACAAATATTGTTTAGCATCCTGTTGATGTAAATACAGTAACGTAAACTTGGACTGCATCGTTTGCACGCGCGACGTCATGCAGTAGATGAGTGTACAAGGAAGATGAATCGAGGTCAGTTGAAAGGGAATAACAAAGAGAACCTGCTCTGCAGTCTCGCGAGCAACCATTAGCGGAAGCGGCGCGTTGTTGTAGAGTTTTGACATTCGAACTTCGCATGATCGCTAGAGACGGTTTAGAGCGGAGGCACAGTAACCGACGTTAACCATTTTGTCGGACTTTTACCGAATATAAATTACGTTAAGATAGAGACGCTGAGCTTTTCATTTGCTTCGCGCCGGATAAACGTTATTTCAAATACTGAGCACGCGCGTTTGGGGAATTACCGGTTAAACCTGGAGTTGGCCGTTGGTTTTTCACCGATAACTGAAGAAGATGACGACGACACTTAACATTATGGTAAGTTTTTGTCTTAAATGTGGTGACAAAATGGTCAGTAGTGAAACTAAACGTTGTCGTGACTAATATTTAGTTATTTACAAGTAGTTAACCTTGGTTCTAGCTCATTTATAGTTAACGCCAGATATAATAAATTGAAAGAGATTCACTTAAAGGGATAGTTCATCTAAAAATTAAAATAGTTTACTCCTTAATTTACATGTCATTGTGTCGTTTATACCCCTTATGACTTCATTTCTTTGTGGAAAACAAAAGAAAGGAAGAAATTTCGAAACTTGCTTTTCATTCTTTTCCATGATTGTGAATGGGGACGTAGACTTTCAAGCTTAAAAATGACGCAAGTCACCAGAAAAGTATTATAAAACTAGTCCACATAACACTTGGGCTATTTTCCAGTTCTTCTAGAATCTTATGATAAGGTTAAGAAACTGACAATGACTTTTGATTTTTAAAAAAAAATGGAAGCTTGACATCTCAAATCATTTCGTCTCACTGTATGAGGGAAAAGTCGTAAGTACAGTTTTCAGTATCTTACATTTTGAGTTTCTCGAAAGAAAAACAAGTTATTCTACTGTTTAAAATGTTTTTGTTCCTTTTCATTATTTGAAACCATAGACTATTTTGTGTTCGCACATGGCAAGGACAAATCTAATTTACTAATCCCTCAACATATGTTCACTGTCCTGAAGACAGATACTGTTTGTTCACGGTCTTGAACAATTTACTTCAAATTAAAGCATAGATATAGCTTAAATTACTTTTGTTGTTTAAATAGGATTAGAATTATATAAATGATGAAGAGTTAAGGAAATGTGCTATATGGAAATTGTTTTGAATTTGACTTGAGGGTTAAATGTGAAAAATCAGAGAGTTACTTCCTCCTACACAGTCTTTATCTAAAAGTTTCAGTATGACTGGTCTATTTTTAAAATAATAAAAGTCAATCCTGTTGTTATAGTTAGTGAGCGTAAACTCTTATTAACCTTATTTGAATGGGTTAATATTTGCCTGGTTGTGGAAAAGCCTTGTGTACATGCAGCCATTTAAGTTGAGTGTAAATTTGTTAACTGTGGCTAACCACCTTGGTTAAATTACATTTTGTCTCTCTTTCAGTGAATCAGACGCAACCGTTAAACTTTGTGCTCTGGCACGACCTCGAAGTTGAAAGTGATTATTACATTTATCAGCAGGCTACTGCCCTGCCCCCTCAGGAGACCCCCTATGTGGATTGAATACACCCCGCAGTTTTACACAGGATGGGTGAGCTGGATGTGAGGTCTCCTTTTTGTCATCATCATCAACAACGTATTTTGATCTGTGCATGGATCCTGCGTTACTTTTATCACCAAGCACTTCCTGTGCTCCTCTCCAACACCTTAGTTTGCAAGAGTATTGACTTTATCTGAACTGCTGTTTTGAGAGGAGAGAGGTTTGGCAAGTGTTTACTTGGTTTGAAGCAACCTCTTCTCGTTGTCACATATTTATACTGCTTTTTTTTCCATGTATGGATAGCATATAAGATTTGACCCGACTTCTCGCTCCACTCAGTGGAGAAATGTCAGAAAATCTCAACGACAATATGGTCAAGTTCCTTTCCCCCCCTTCGAAGAACATCAGCGGCTCCAGCTCAGACACGCTGGTGGGCGAGCGTCTCGGTGTCGAGGTCCGCCGTCGCCACCACACCATGGAGCGAGAACTGCTGAAGGCAGAGCACCACCGTTTCTTCCGCCGCAGCGTCATCAACGACTCCAATGCTACGGCGCTGGAGCTGCCCAGCAAGAACGCAATCCTAACCATCTCAACGGACTCCCACGCTCTTGTTTGTGAACCTCCTGCCTTGGAAACCAAAGTCGCTTCAGTGGCCACACAATCTGAAGGGTTGGTTGCACCAGAAGAGGAGGGTGACGGTGTCAAAACAGCTGTAGAGTCAACGCCGGTGTTGGTTGCGAATACCACACGTCTTCTCGCTGCAGAAGCACCACGTTTGATTGCAGAGTTGAAGTCTGGAGATAGTGCTGATGCAAAACGAGAGGATGAGAAAGAGGAGGATGAAGAAGGTAAAGACAAGGCACGAGCTAAGGCAGATTTGCGGGATGCGAAGGCGGAGCTGGAAGACAATGAGGAAGTTGAGACAAACGCAGTCGGGACGTCGCTGGATGGCCGCTTCTTGAAGTTCGACATTGAGATTGGACGTGGCTCTTTTAAGACAGTCTACAAGGGTCTGGATACTGAAACCACAGTGGAGGTGGCATGGTGCGAGTTGCAGGTACGTTTCTTGTATTTTTGTACCTTAAGTGGCTTTTTCAGTTACATTTTTCAGTCTTTGTTAACGCATTAGAGGCCAGGAACCAAGCCAACCAGTAACATATTATTAACTTTTATTTGAAGCATTTATGCACCAAGAGCTTGTAACACTCCCAAGAGAAAGGAAAAAATGAAATCGCATCATATGACCCCTTTAAAAATTGGACCAATAGACAAAGGCACAAAACTATGTAATTGACAATTTCAATGAGGAAAAAACTACACAAATATTTTGACAGCATAGCAGGACTTGATTTCATTTGAGGTGCTTCATTCTGTACAGCATCATGGGTAATTTCATTTTTCACCAGTAAAATGAAAAGTTGAAATAATGCGAACAGATGGCTTCAACAAAAGCATACTGTAGTTTAACAATCTTTGAACTGACAGTAGTTCTGTCTTTAAAGGTTTATGAGTTTAAATTAAATTTCCCTATGGAGAAAATAAATGGAGTTTTTGCTTCCGAAACCTGAATGTTGCGCTTTATGGGTAGGACGTCACAGCTTTTGACAGCTAAGATAACAAAGTGCAGCACTTGACATTGTTGGCACTCTTTATTTGTCCGCTGACGGTGGTAAATCACTATCTGATCTGCTCCTTTGGGACTTAAGTATACTATCTCATTCTCTGAAACCTACGACCCTGTCTCGAGGCCTTTCCGGTATAGCACCTTTAAATGACAGTCTTATGACTAGTCAGTTTGATTTTAACTTCAATGCCCCACCTACACCTTTTCAAGAGATGTTGTCATCAGCTTGTATTGTTCGTGTTTAATTTTGCTGTATAGAAATAGGAAACACTTTTAACTAGTCCTTTTGTCACACCTCTGAAGCGTGCGTCTCAATACACACCTCTGACATTTAACACATCTGGCATTTGGCCTGTGTTTTTATAGCTGTTGTCATCTTTGGCCGTAGCCCCGGCATTGTAGTATCATCCTTGAATAGAAAATCCTAATTTCCTAATTAGGTTATTTTAGACCACCAGGTGTGTTTTGGAAGATGTGTGGCATATGCAGTAAATCATAGGTAGTGTTTATTTAAGGTGTACTTTGAGACAGTCTAATTGCCATGGAAGCCTGTTTCCATGCCAGAATAAAAAAACTATAATAAATTGCAATTTTAGATCTTACAGTGTGACGTCATTTTTTGGAATTGCATTTATATCATGCAATTGTGAATTAACACTACAGTTTTAAAGTTTAGGGTTGGTAAAATTTTAAATGTTTTTCAAAGAAATCTCACAAATGTTCTCACAAAGGCTGCATTTACTTCATAAAAACAGTAATATTTTGAAATATTATTACAGTTTGAAGTAACTGTTTTCTGTTTAATATATTTTTAAATGTAATTTATTCCTGTGATGCAAAGTAGGGGATGTAACGATTAACTGCGAGCCAGTTGAAAATCAATTCAAATATGTGACGATTCAAATCGGTTGAGATGCTAAACAAATCGCGATTCATTTAGGTGTAGGAGTTTATATGAATGCATGTCTGAGGGGAACTTACTGTCTTTAGAAAAGTTTAGATGGTATTTTTTCTTTTCATCTTGCCTCTGTATAATGCATATTAAAGTTCATAAGTTCAGCGCTGCTTTGTTTACAGCGGAAACCAGGAAACGATTTGAATCTGTGAATCTGCATCTCATTCAGCTCAGCTTTCATGCAGATATTTTTATTTATAGTTTCACAAAACTGAAGTCAAACCATTCTGTTTTTGCTTCAAATTTCGAAATTATACAATCTAATTTAGTTTAAAAACTGCTCATGTTGCATGTATGCAGCATCTTTGTTTGGATAATGATTA